GTTGCTTATTCTTTCTGGCCATCTGATCTTCAGCAGCGAGCGTAAGCAGTTGTTGATGAATGTCTGTAGTTTATTGGAAATGCCTTTCGTGACGCGCCAAGTCTCTGAGCCATACAAGAGCACTGACTTGACGTTGGTGTTGAAAATCCGCATCTTGTTCCACATGCTGAGTGCAGAAGATCCCCACACTGGTTTCAGGCTAATGAACGCCTGTCTTGCTTTTCCGATTCTGACTTTGACGTCCTCGTCCGTCCCGCCTGTAGTTGAAACAGTGCTTCCTAGATAAGTGAAGGAGGTTACTTCCTTCAAGTTTCTCCCGTTGACGGTGATTGGAGTTTGTTGTTGTTGTTGATGGTGGTGGTGGTGGTGCGGTATCTTCATCACCTCTGTCTTCCCTACGTTCACTTGAAGTCCCGTCTTCGCTGCCTCTTCTATCAACTTGTTAGTTTTTGCCGGCAGATCTTCAAGTTTGTGTGACATCAGGCACAAGTCATCGGCGAAATCCAAGTCTTCTAGGTTCTTTTCCGCAGTCCAGCCAGCGTATCCCCCTCTTCTCGCTGCCTACTGTTTGCTGCATGATCCAGTCCACCACAATCAGGAATATCATGGGTGATAGTAGGCAACCTTGTTTCACTCCTGTCTTCACTTCAAAAGTATCACTGAGCTTCCCATTGTGAATTACTTGGCATGTGGCATCTTCATATAGTTGTTGAATGAGGCGGATAAAGGTTTGCGGTACTCCGTAGTATTGAAGCAGTTTCCAAATTACTTCTCGGTCGACGCTGTCAAAGGCCTTCTCAAAGTCGATGAAGTTGAGGTAGAGAGCTGATTGCCATTCTATGCTCTGTTCTATGATGATGACAAGCGTTGCAATTTGGTCTGCATGTACTGGCATATACTATTGCCTATTGAGAAGATGCCAGCCTCTTCACTACTTTAGTTGCCGAGTAATCTATCAAGGTTTCAGCTTCTTCAATATGGTTTGGGGCTAGGTTGTTGTGCTTCCCAAAATGATATATGCTGAGGGTTGGAAGTCCTCAACTACTTTCTTGATTCCATCTATCATGGACTTAATACTGTCAATTCCTTCTCTATTTTCCTTGATGTTATTATCCATGACCGACATAATGTCTTCACTCCTGACGAGCGGTGTAAGGCAAGTAAGTTCGTCGGGGTCTGGATTATATGAGGCGATATAGTTTCGGCCACAACCCGAAATATTAGTGGAACCGACTCTTTTATTCTTATCTCTAGAGCTATCTACCTTTGGGCTCTTTGCTTTCGACCGTCCCATTCTTATGATAGGTTTTAAGTGAGATGTGCGACCGACGGTAATGTATGCAGTCCAAAAAGATGGGAATACACTGTCTATATATAACAATGTAGCCTTAGCTTCTGCATACAGAATATATCGTGATATTACCATATATGTACAATGATAATGAGCCAAGCAGAACAAGAAATCCAGAAAACAGAAAATGAATTATCACACCTTACGGTAGCGTCTAATTTCAGCGTTTCCGGTCTTTTTATATGTAGATTTTTGCTGCTTTCGCCCAACGTTCTCGTGGTATCGAGGACTTTTATTTATATTCCAGGTGCAGCAAGCACTGAACCAAACGTCGGAGGACACTGTGGATCGCGATCGACATACAATCGGATTTGTTGTAGTTTATTCTCCATTCGCCGCGACACCGTAGGATGATTCAATACATCCCGGGGGCTACTTCTTGCAGTGAGCGCAGCGTAAGATTTTTACAAGTGGAGAAACCGCTGCTTTTTGCAAATATCACGCAGCAAATTAGTGGCATTCAATGGACAACAGCGTTTCGAAAACAAGTTTTTGTGCAGATTCATATCGGGTTGGGTAACTCCACAACTTCCAGACAGACTTTATATATTCCTAATTTTCTCCCCTTTTCGGTGATGACAGGGGTGGTGGAATCTTCCATATATCTGGGACAGGTGCGGAATAATTCCAGTAACCGAATGTGTTTGGTGTTGATTCGACGAACAAAGATTCAGTCGGTTTTCAATCTCCCCTCCCTCCACCCACACACACCAATGGGTTCTTGGCACATATAAATTCAGTGGTGAATGCAATCCAATTTTTCTCTGACTTGGAAAGTGAAGAAGGTGAGCTAGCAATGTTGGGTTGCAAGATTAAATGAACACAAGAAGGAAATCCAGAGGCTAGTGTCTATAGGAAACCTATCCATTCAAATCGCTACTTAGACTACAAATCCTACTACCCGATTTCAGTTAAAGTAGGTCTAGTTGAATGCTTAAGTGATAGACCGAAAAAGCTTGCCAGTAAATCGGAAAATCTGTGACAAGAAATTAGACACATGAAGAATACCCTACGTCTCAATAATTACACACCAAAGTGTATCGACAAATTCACATGAAATTGAAAGCGAAGTGTCAGCAGTGGCAGTAGTAGCAGTGACACAGGTGTTATTAATAATAATTCCACCACTAATGGTGATAATGGTGACAGGGTTAAGAGGGAATTAAAGCCCCCATTGTGTTACCATACAAAGAAGGCACCTCAGAAGTGTTACAAAGAATTCTCAGTGAGGCTGGCTGGGATTATCGAATCAGCGCCAAATACATGCAGTTACTGGAATGATTCCGCACCTGTCTGAGATATATGGAAGATTCCGCTACCCTTGTCATCACAGAGGAGGAGAGAAAATTAGGACAATATAAACTCCGTCTCGAAGTTGTGGAGTTACCTGATATGAATACGGATAACAAATTGTGTCGAGTGAATGCTACTGCTTCACTGTGTGACATTTCTAATGGACGGACTAAGATGGGATTATAGCCGACCACGGTGCCCTAGTTTCACTCTAATATTGAGAAACTACTGGGTTTTTATTTCCGGCTGGTATCGCCTCGAGGTCCTCATGAGCCCACATGAGGGAGTGACCTGTACCGCACCTCTCCGGGATCAATAGCCTAGAGTTCGAAGAGATTGAACATTGATACTGACCTTCATAGTTTAACTGGACTCGTTAAGCTGAAGGGACCCGGTCATGCATCCTCGCCATTCGGCACGCTGTCGTGTTACCTTGCACTGCTCATGGTCGGTCCCCAGCAGGAACGCATTAGTATCTTGGTGCGACTTCGTAAATACACCATTCCATCCGGCTTCGCCACTTTGTTCATTCTTGGCCTCGTATTCATGGGTATATAACAAGTTCGAATAATTAATGATTGGCCTCTGAGTCTGTCAAGTCCGCAGCAGGACAATTCCCAAAAGATCAATAAACAGCACGACTGAGTAACTGAGTTTAGGTCGTACATTTTAGGGCCACATAAATGCACCTCGATATGTGAAATATATGGCTGTAAGTCATCAGTGAGCGGCGAAAAGTAACATGACAAATTACGGAATGATGTAGACGCCTCACGGAATACATGCAGGCCAATAATTCTTCCAACTGACAAAATATACCCATTTATTCATCAGCAAAAACAAGGCATGCATCAGCGAAGAATTATTTCTTTTCAACGACCTAAATAAAGAACAAACATCAAGCGATGCCATACTTTTTCCTGTCACAATGATATCTCCGATGCAGCGAACAAAACCAAACGTGTCTGGAAGACTGTATTTGCATAGATTTGATCTCACCGGTTCAGGCATTTTCACAAGCCACTTGCTAACGAGTGATAAAGCGAATTAAGCATATCCAGTGCTGGAAGAAGAGGAAAACCATCTCTATGCACCCTCAGCAGACCATATAAATGGGGCATGTTTGGACCAGATGGTCTAAGCTGCTCATACATATGTGGGGTAATTGAAAATTCTTCTTTCAATTTTCGTAAGATTTTCGATATTTGATTTTCCATATCTTCTGTTCTATCTTTCTGATCTCTGGACTTTAGAAATTTATTATTATCGCTGAGAATTAGGCATAGTTTATAAATACAATCCGACCGATCCAAAACTGCGATACCAGATACTTTGTCTGGGCGTGCAAGTATAATATCCCTGTTGCTTGGTCGTTCTTTCAATTGTGCTTAATGCTGTTCGGAAACAATACCTAGTTGTAGATATGCTGTTTTCAAATATTGATAACAACCATGTAAAAATATGGGTTTGAAACGTTCAAAGCTTCCGGTGGAAGTCAGGATTCAGTCTATAGTCCGGCTAAGATTTTTAAACTGCACTTTTGCTTCAGGTACTTTGGCTTTTGATGGGACACAACAAAACTTCGGTCCCAATGACAGACTCTGCAAGTAAATGTTTGACAGGATTTTAATGGAGTGGTCAAACACGTATCCCTCTGTTACATCTGGAAAATTGTCTTGTGACTCAGCGGTTTTAAAAATTTTCAGTGATTTGATTCTTATATCTTCACATCTCTTCTTCATCACATCTGATACATAAGATTCAAATGAATCCCACTCTTCACTTGTTAGCTAGAATATAAAATGCTTTCGCTGGGAGATATTTCTCCTCAGTTCAGAGAGGCGTACATGCATGCCATCAATTAGATTTAGAGCACATCGCGTCAACATATGACCATTAGGATAGATACGATTGCGACTCAAAGCTTTCCAGAAATATCTTGGGTATTCAAGTTTCACAATACAACTGTTTTGCACGTCGATCTTTACATTCGCTTGCGCAAGCTTGACAGAATAACGAAGAAACCCACTGAGTCCCCTCACTGTCATTGGGTCCTTGCACTCTTTAAACTGGCGAGATACACCTATTTGTTAATTAAAAGAACAAGGTATGTATTAGCGAAGAAATATTTTTTTGTTTTCTTTTTAAGATCTCTACAGAATAACCAGGTGAAGTTCATTGACCTTTTTTCCTCACCTATAAATGCGAAGGATTCAGCGACATAGTAGAAGTAAAATTGAGAAAAATTCCCGACTGAACATGGAAAATTTCATCACACGTGATTTAGCTAGGCATCCAGAGTTATTCACGAATCTGAGAAAGCTCACAAGTATAATACTGTACCATTGTGTGTTGAGTAAAATAAGTGCGCTATTATTGATAGTTTCGCTACATCATGCCCATTCGAATCCCAAAGCATATTGCACGGTTTCTTAGCCATCAGGTTGCACAAAGAATCAAACTTTTAGAGTCTGCCCTACTTGAAATTCATGACCTTGATAACCGTATGAAGATGGAACTATTAGCTTTAAATAATTTGGCAGAACCGAACGACGACGAATCCTGCGAAAATGTCAATTCACCTGCGTCTGTTGTAGAAGTAAGTTTCTAATTTATCGTTCAGGTTTGTCCCTTTTTGGATATAGGTGAGCTAGCTGTTAATTAGGAGGCTTTAGTTTGCCTCTATAGAGTTTTTAGAGGAAATAGGATCTCATGAAATAAATATTTCTACTTATCTGACACCTGAACTTGATAATCCAGTCAGAAATTTTGCAGGAGAAAACGAGGGAACTTGATTTCAGGGCTCAACTCATCAGGGAGATTGAATGTGATAAACCGTTTTTGAACACGCAAAGGTGGTTTAAGATTCTTAGAAGTTGAGGCCTCGACAGACTTGACCATGTCACCAACGCATTTTGTAAATATATCTGAAGAAAGTAACAATGTCATCCCTGTGACCTGTCTCAAAGATACGCTTCAACGTACATGGGCTCAGTAGATTCAATTTAACTCCGAAACCACTTTGGAACACGTTTCGAGAACCTGACCTGTTTCAATTTATAACTCCTCCCTACTTATGTGTCACCATATATACGTTTGAATTGGCAGATGCAGTGGGAGGTAACATTGTCGTTCACATGCTGAAAGGTTTCGGAAAATATTCAAGCATCGGGATAGGTTTTAGTCTGACCCTAGATACATCATAAATTATTATGCAGACATGTTAAGTCTCTGCAAAAGACTGTACCACAAGGGTCACCTTTAATTTCGGAACTAAATATGCTGCTTAAAGATAGAAAGCTACCACCCTATGTTGGCTTTTTTGTAGTAGATTTTTGAGCTTGTCCAACCCCGTTTTGAACGAGTCAATTGATGATGCGGACACCACCTCTTCTGGGAGTCGGTTCCAGGAGTTAATTAATCGGTGCGAGAACAAGTAGTCTGTGGAGACTACGTTCGTCCTTTGATTTTGTGTCCCCCTACTATGTCCTCTGAGGTGTTCCGACCTAGTGGGAAAGAAAAGAGAGGATAGATCAGGTCCGAAGTCATTTCTTAGAATCTTGTATAGTATAATTAGATCTCCCCTCTATCTGCGATAGGAGGTTCAGCTCCTTAAGTGAATCATCGTAAGTTAGACCGACCATCGCAGGCATCAGGCGAGTGACCACCCTCTGAACTCTTTCCGGGAGGTCTGAGTTACCTTTCAGACAAGTATTTGCCGCCTGTGTACAGTTTTCTAGTTTAGACCTAACTAGGGATGTGTATAAGATGGTGGAGATATCACCACTCATTTTTGTAAACGTTCTGAGTAATGCCCAACGTGTCCTAAAACTCCGTGCTGAGACCGATTGACAGTGTGCAGTGATTTTCAAATGATAACTCGCTGACTCTCAGGTCATTAAGAGTCAGTAATGAGGGCAGGGTAGTGTCACCCATATCGTAGGTGTTGGCATCTGTGTGCCTGATGTGCATACTCATAAACTTACTTGGGTTGACAGGCATACGCCACTTTTCTGGTCAGGTAAACGGGTTGTTTAGGTCTGCTTGAAGTGCATGTGTATCCTCGTCGTCCCTAATTTCCCACCAGGGTTTTTATATCACCAGCGTGGGGAACCATAAGGGATTTCGTGGTATTTGGTAGGTCATTTATGTATAGGAGAAATGGCAGGGAACCTTGAAGGAGCTGGGTTCTAATCACGCTTTGCTTGCGCAGTTACTACACAACGTACGTGTCACTCCCCATGGGTCCATATATTACATTTATTGTGATATTAGAAAGAGCACCATTTGTATTGTGAAAATATCATGCATAATTAACATAACCGAAGTCAACGTTGAGTGAATTGTCTGAAGCACCCAGTAGTAAGTTATCGCACAAAAGTTATACTGCGCTGTAGCTTTTAAATTTCATTTGATTTGGTTTAGCACCACGTTAGGGTCGTATATCGTCTGAATGTTTCACTAAAGCACATAGGTTTTAATAGTTAGTGGTAATACATACATTTGATGGTAAAATAACTACTAGGACCAAAGTATTTGGAAACATTTAGTTCAGATAGTTTACCACTTAAGAAGTAAGTGTAGTCCGGCAAATCACCAGATTGTTTGAGAAATCGTAGTAGACTGAGTCGTCCATCATCCTGGGATAAAGCCAGTATCTTTCCTATTTTGCTAATCAAGGCTGTGTATTAGAATCCTCCCAGCCGCTTAAGGACTTACGCAGAGTTATCGTCTGAAGTGGAGTAAACCATCACTGTCCACCAAAGATGTTCATTGTCACCATTTATATTTGACTTTGAAATCGACTTGGTAGTTGATAAAGCCTAAGCATTTTTGACTGTAAGAGAGCTACTTGACTTGGAGTACCGGAATGACACTTCGTTTAGCGTACTGTATAAGCAAACTCGAACTCTCTGATGTAACAGCCTCTAGTTTTACAATTTATTGATTCCTGTATTTACGTATTCTGTATCGTTTTCCTTTGATCTCTCCCGGCCTTTTACAAAGGTCTATGTTACAGTTCTCATGGCTTTAAAAGCCGTCAGTAGTGTAAGTGTTGTTCTCTCGCTCAACTGTTTCACACTATTTGATAGACATTAGAGCATTGGAAATATGTAGCTGTGGTGATTTTAACCAATATGAAACACTCACTTTATTCACAGCTCCTTCCTTTTATTTCATGAGGGATGTGAAGAAACAAAATTTGCATTGCCGTAGATTCATGCCGTAGGCTTACTGTGTGAAGGCTAACAATGCTACTTGGTTGCCCACACCTCGGTAGGCGAAGGGAGGACAAGCAGTAATTCCGTAAGGTTGAACTCTAACGTAGCTAAACATAAGAATTCGACTGTTCATTACATAGAACGCATCTTGTATTAGGAAACAAGTGTTAGACAGGACTCACTTATCAACGTTATTATAATAAGTAGTCAGTTTCCGATGTTTTGACCATTCTTGTAAAAAAAATTCCCTTTATGATTTAGTTACTGTGATTAGTTACATGATTTTAATTTCTGTATTTAAACTACTGGAAATATTGTAAAGGAGTATATATTTTTGAGGTAGTAATCATCCCCATTAACCTCGAAGCATACAGTTTTGGAATATTATATGCTGAAAATTCCTAATTGTACCGAAAATTGTTTGGAATGAAGTTATTATTATTATTATTGAGAGACTGACAAAATGCAGGGTCTTCTAAACTCTTTGAGCAGAAATTAGAGTATGTTTAACGTGCGTTTTGCACCCTTCAAACTTAACTCTTCAGAACTGGTCTGCACCGACACCTAGTTAAAGAATAAGAACTAAAGTAGTAGTATCCTTTGATCACTTTTCATCAGTAAATGAATTGTTTGTTATTAAAATCTCAGATGGGATACGAAAAGGCCTGTCTAGCATTTACTAACTAACGTCATCTCTGAAGGTGATATTCAACTGGATATCAGTAGGCTATTGTGCTGCACTACAGCCTGCTCTGTCCTGTAACATAACTGACATGACCTTGAGAAGTGGATATGAAGTGTATTTTTAACCACTGATGTCTTCGTAGCATCGCTTGTACGTTGGAATCACTGTCAGTACAGTAGTGCCAGGGTTAGGTGTAGAACATTATGCAAGAAAAAAGTCAGTTGAAGCTATGAATCCTCACCATCTGAAATGGCTTGGATATGTGTTGCACATGCCGACCCATCATCTACCTCGATGTGTGTTGCTAGGCTAAATAGATTTCCACTGAAATAGATCTCATGGTGACTAGACGAAGACGTGGCACTTGATGATGGGGTCTCTGACTGTCAATCATCATGTCAATCTAAACCGTGTTTGGAGAGGTAGTCTGTGATGGTGAGGTCATAGAGATGATAAAAATCAATGGTTGGAGAATCGGCGATGTCGCTGATAATCCGTCACATTGCCACAGATGTATTCTTTGTCAGATTCGAAGTCTTGAATATTTTCATCAACTTACTGTTTACTGTCTCAACTCTCATGTACTTGGACGTGGTTGTGACTGGCAGTGAAATCCAGGACGCGCGTTTCGTCCTATTTGCGGCTCATTGGTTGGACGTGCCTATTTCCCAGTGAGCGATATTGTTCCTACTGAGACTCTAACCAAGTACCCTTCGCCTCTAACGTCAAAGCATTATCCACTAGGTCGCCGAGGCATGATTGCCACTTCTTGGGCATGTTTGAGAAAAACACTCACTGGGGTGCAGGTGTATCCAACTAACGAGTCCCAAATAGGACGAAACGCGCGTTCTGGACTCCACTGCTAGTCCTGACTAAATTAGTTATAGCAATAGACATTCAGGTAATATCAACCTGTCCGCATTGGAGCCAATATACCAACAGTGGTTGATCAATTCGATCTAGTGTAAATACGCAGAATCACCAGTAACAACAAATAATAATCGTATACTTCGTCTAACTGGATATCACTTTCTTTACCCACCCGTTCTTTGAGTATTACTGTGAAATGTGGCAACGTGAAGTGATGCTTTTCTATGCCCGTATCTTCATCTACTTTTCTGCCTATCTTTGTGTAAAAGGGTGTTCCTAATGCTCGTAACAATTGTCGTGAGCATTAATTAGCTACCTGTTGTGTTCTAAAATTTAGTATCATACTTGGGAGGTTATACAGAATATGGAAACAACCTATATGTGATGAACAGATCTAGTTTTCTTAATAATTTACTCACTCTTTCGCCATGTGATCGGACACCACTAAAAGTCATTGTACATTTTATTACTATAGTTGTCTTCGATATTTCGAGTGTGACTGCTCGGAAATCCTGTTAAAAACGGTTGCCAGAGAATTTAATTATCTTAAGAGCCAACCTCAAGTAGGATAGGGCCTACATTCGGCTCCATTTTTCATTTTGTGCTGAGGTTAAGAAGGGTCGTATAAATTTCAGCATTCCCCTCTAACTCTTCAACTGACAAAACTCAAGATACCTCCGAAAGAGGTTTTGTGTTCAGTCATTCATCCAAGTTTGATCACTGTTCAAATAACAGCCGCCGGGTTGATATGTAGATCATTATGTCAGAGCTTCACATACAATTGGCGCTGGTCATATTATGTCCATAGTATATGCTACTGAT